TATGTAGTACATATGACAGAGGAAAATAAGGCGAGTCAGTACTTTAGACGGTTAGAAAAGCTCTGTCTCTGCAGGGAAGAATAGTATATATATACACAGTCTCTCTCTCTCTCTCTCTCTCTCTCTCTCTCTCTCGCTCTCTCTCTCTCTCTCTCTCTCTCTCTCTCTCTCTCTCTCTCTCTCTCTCTCTCGGGGAAGGGGGGGGGGGAGGGAATAATGGAACTTGGGAGTATATAAACATCACATCTTCCAACGGCAGCGCCACCACAGCGCCGGGAAGACCAACTACCTCGTTACCTCCCGCCAGAAGACACGGAACAAGCCGTGCTGGCCCCAAGTGCCAATATGGTGCCAAGCAATATCCGCTCCTGGTCATCGATCTCTTGCAACCCCCGTTCGTAACTCCGTCAAAAATGCAACTGTTTTTTCGTATCTAGGAACGTACGAAGTCAGGCGGCTCACCTATATAATAACCTGTCGAGGCCCCCCAAGGTAGATAAAACGTTAATAATACGTTGCTGTCATGTTTACCAATCCGTTGCATTTGTAACGGATTGATTGGTTGCGTCAAAAGAGATGACGTATTACTTGGGAAGACTTTGCAATCATCTGTACGTCATCGATAGATCGGAAGAGTTTGCAAACCATCTACATCATCGATAGATTGGAAGAGTTTGCAACCATCTTCGTTATCGATAGATCGTCGCCTCTTTCAGTTTCCTAAGTGGATGAACTACTGGCGATGGCGATAGACTTTGTCTCACGGTAGAGAGAGAGAGAGAGAGCGAGAGAGAGAGGGACGAGAGAGAGAGGATAGAGAGAGGAGAGAGGAGAGAGAGAGATTTGAGAGGAGGAGAGAGATAGAGATGAGAAGAGAGAGGAGAGAGCGACGAGAGAGAGACGAGAGAGAGATGAGAGGAGAGAGGAGAGGAGAGAGAGGAGGAGAGAGAGAGAGAGAGAGACCCTCCCTCCCTCACCACTCCGTAACAAACGTAGCTGTTTTCCGAACCCAGACACGAACGCACCCACCCAACCCACCTAACCTATCGAGGCCGATGACTATCAAACGTCGATATTGCGGTGGTGCTTTTCTATCATACTAACACCTCACATATTTTCAACAGATTCCCTAAAATATGGGGACAGGTTGCAAGCGCCTGGATACAGTGTCGCCCAGGTGAATAAGCTCCAAGCTGGGGAGGGGAGGGTTCGAATCCCACTTAAACCAAGATTGCGTTCCTGTAGCCTCGTGTGTTGCTGGTCCGGATTCCTTGACTGTACTTATTTCACGGCCTGTTTTTTTTTTCCTCCGTTGTTGCTGAGTTTATTTGTTGTTCTTTATTTGTGTTTGTTGTTATTCATTGACGTGGTGGTAACAACAGTTATCATCACAACAGTAGACCGTTGTCGTGGGGTAACAGTAGTCACCGTTACAACAGGAGACCGTTGACATTTCAAATTGTCATCACCGGCGTACGAACGCGCACATCCTACTAAATTAAATTAACATTTTCTTTTCTTTCTAAATATTGTTTGTCTTATTTTTTCTGTATTAATAAAATTAGTTTTTAATTCCTAAGGTTCCGTCCATAAATATGTTTATGACCGGTCAGGATATGGATTAGGTTCAGAGGCAGGTAGGTCAGGATATTGGTAATCCAATGATATGTGTATATTAGGATATGGACAAGGTTTGAGAGCTGTAGGTCAGGACGAGGATAAGGTGTGAAATGGGAGGTTAGGATAACGATAAGGCTTCTAATGGGAGTTCAGGAGGGGATAACGTTTCAGGTTTATAGGGCAGGATATGGATAAGGTTTAAGCTGATTTGGTCAGGATATGGACACGATATTGGGACGCATTCACCCCCCCCCCCCCACCCCTCTCCCACCCGACATGGGGGATAAATTACTCCGTTACCCCCCCCCCACCCCCCACCCCACCCCCGCCTTTGGGGTTGAGGGACATAGAGATGGATTCGAACCCCGTATGGTAATAATGGATTATTTTTGTAGGGGTATTTTATTCATGGTTTGAAATTGTAATCAATTAAGAGTAGGCTTCGAACCAGGGACCGTAAATTATACTGTGCTACCACCTTAACATGAGAAGGAACAAGTCTATAATATCGTCACTATTTGGAATTATAGCTTCTCGCCATTTCTATCATCAGTTATTAAACAGAAATTAATTTTGGACGAGGGTTCGAAGACTAATGAAGAGGTCTGGGCAGTAATGTGGTATTGCATACACGGAGACAATACATGGAGGCTCGGGGTCACTGTTGAAACGTTGCACAGGTATGCTAATTTGCAACAATTAGAACTAGAGTTTGGAATAAGTTGAATTAGCTGCCAGATAGCATCATTGAGATTTACAGATTATACACTTATCCAACCACTTAACCCTCTTATCCAGTCACTTTACCCTCCTATCCAGCCACTTTATCCTCCTATCCAGCCACTTTGCGCGCCTATCCCTCCCTCCGTCCTCCTCCGAGCCCAATAACTGGCAACAGACAGCGTAACGGGAATTTTCTTGGTATTTACGAAGTGTCGTTGGCGACTGTTTATTGGTTCTTGAGTTGTCTGTCTGTCTGTCTGGCTGTCTGTCTGTCTGTCTGGCTGTCTGTTTATTGGTTCTTGAGTTGTCTGTCTGTCTGTCTGGCTGTCTGTCTGTCTGGCTGTCTGTCTGGCTGTCTGTCTGTCTGTCTGTCTGTCTGTCTGTCTGTCTGTCTGTCTGTCTGGCTGTCTGACTGGCTGTCTGTCTGTCTGTATGTATGTCTGTCTGACTGGCTGTCTGTCTGTCTGTCTGTCTGACTGTCTGTCTGTCTGTCTGTCTGTATTGATGTCTGTTGGTTGGGTGGTTGTCCCTGCTGTCTGCCTCTCCGTCTGTGAAGCATAAAACAATATAATGTAGAAGTAATTCAGTTGTAATACAGTGATGATACACAGGTAATACAGTGATAATACAGTTGTATTACCGAAGTAATACACTAGTTATACAGTGGTCAGAGTTAATACAGTAGCAATAAAGCAGGAATACAGTAGCAATTTAGGAGTAATACAGTAATAAAAGTGGTAATACAGTGGTAATACATAAGTGATACAGAGGTAATACAGTGGTAATAAAATTGGTAATACAATGGTAATATAAGTGGTAATACATAAGTGATACAGAGGTAATACAAAGGTTATACAGAAGAAATGGAAAAATAAATAAAGAGTAATACAGAGGTTATACAGTAGTAATACAGAAGTTATTTAATAGTAATAGTGGAAATACATCATTAATACTAATTAAATAGGACCATTAATACAGTTTATATTTTATTCAATAAGAAATAGCAGAGGAAAAGAAGAATAAGATTAAAACCAGTGGAAGAAACGGCCAGAATGACATGGAAGTCCCAGCATGTCACTCAAGCTTAATCTCCCCCCCCCCCCCCTTGTACCAAACACTTGAAGATGAGTGGCTTGCATCAAAGTTGCCTCGCATCTTAGCAGTATTTCCCAGACTTTACAAGGCGCGCCTGACCATTCAACACCTCCAGCGGCCACGGCAAAAAACCCGTCCATATCCGACTTATACCGTAGGGCCGTAAATTGCCAATGTTTACATTTATGTTTCCCGCGCTTTTCTTCCGCTTGAGAAGTTATGTTTCCCGCGCTTTTCTCCTTCTGTGGGAAGTTGGCAGCCGTGGCAGTTGCTCCTCGTCCCCCGTATATTTAGCAGCCGTAAGCCGGTATTTTGAGAGCACGATGGAGAGTGTGTAAGGGAGCCCCTGGGTACGCATTCCTCCTAGGGGGCCGCTATAACATCCCCTGGGCAGGGGAGGAGGAGACCCCTGCTCCAGGGGGAATCCAAGTTATGGCATGTTGCGTTTTTCAGGCGCCTTCTGCGGCTTGGTGATGGGAGGAGGATGACTGATCAAGATGATCGCCTGTCGCAGGTAATTGAGCAAGGTTATTTAGATGACGGAGCACGGACTTAAGTCACTTGGGGAAGGGGCAGCTGCCAGGGGTGGGGGTAGGGGGAGGGGGGGTGGCCAGGGGTGGGGTGAGGGGGAGGGGGGGGGAGCCAAGCGCACCACATGGCGTGTAGGGTAAGACTGGTTGGTCACTGGCAGGTTAGTTTGTTAGTGTGCTTGGGGGAGTCGGTGGGTGATTTGAGGGAAGTAGGGAGTGTGTGGAGAGGATTCGTGGGTTTCTAAGGGACTGTAGGGGGGAGAGGCGGTGTGTGTAGGGGTGCGAGGAACCCCCCTAGTGCTACCTACTCCCCCGCTCCCCCCATCTCCCCACACCCAGCTGCCTCCCACATCTGACACGCGGAAAATAAGAGAGCTTTAAAGTGAGAGTATTCACGAGAACAGTGTAATGTTACACAAAGATGGGAACATAAACAGTGAGAGGTGTAGAGGGATCCTGAGGATATAATGAGAAACATGAAGGAATAGGTGGATTAGTTGCCTAGTTAATCAGGAAGAACGTTTGTCTTAGTATTTACTTAAGAATCAGTAATCCCCCATACCATTGTAGTCACCAAGGCAGTATGAGAACCAAAGTTGATGATCACAATGATATTCAATCCTCCACAAACCGCCAGACCACTCAGAAGACTGACAAACAGGACCACTAAGACTTTCACGACTTCAGCTGCCTCAGTTACAAGTAGTAATGACTCTTGGGAATGTTGACCAGACCACACAATAGAAGGTGAAGGGACGACGACGTTTCGGTCCGTCTTGGACCATTCTCAATTGTCAACTATACCAAGTTGATATGTCATGTATATGATATTTCAACTATACCAAGATAGATTGGGAAATCAGAAAACCTCAGAGAGGCTTATATAGATACATGGAGAAAGAAACTAATGGAAGCAGCGCTGATAAAGTTTCTGAGTCGACATATCAAAATGGGCGCCACAGTAATCACGAGACTGCCAGACTTGATCTGATATTCACTGTGAATAAATCATATGTGAAATATATCCCAACGCCTTGTCCTGGGTTATGAGGACAAGGTGCTGGGATATGAGGACAAGGAGCTGGGATATGAGGACAAGGAGCTGTGATATGAGAACAAGGAGTTGGGATATGAGGACAAGGAGCTGGGATATGAGGACAAGGAACTGGGATATGAGAACAAGGAGCTGGGATATGAAGACAAGGAGCTGGGATATGAAGACAAGGAGCTGGGATATGAGGACAAGGAGCTGAGATATGAGAACAAGGGGAGAGATCTTAGAAGCTTTACCAATTCTCAACAGATATAATTTAACCACTAAATAAGGGCTGTTCCATAAGTTAAAACAAAATAGCCACGAATGATAATCACTCTTCACCCCCCCCCCTCATGTTGGCGCAGTGATCAATGGTGGTGATAATTGGTTAAGGATGGTAATAGTGGTTACAGAGCGGACACCGGGCATTAACTAGGTGAGGGGGAGGGAGGGAAAGGGGAATAAACGACTGGGTTTTTACCCCCATTCTTGACACCTGGTAATAATTAATCGCCCCCGTTTTCTTTACGCGTAAAATTCAATTTTTTTTGGTGTGTGTACCTCGTCTGATCGTCGCTTTTGTGGTGGTTTTGAATTTATTTTTCGGGTGGATTAAATCATGATATGTTTTAGGTGTTATTCTCTCTCTCTCTGTCTGTCTCTGTCTATCTGTCTCTCTCTTTCTCTCTCTCTCTCTCTCTCTCTCTCTCTCTCTCTCTCTCTCTCTCTCTCTCTCTCTCTCTCTCTCTCTCTCTCTCTCTCTCTCTCTCTCTCTCTCCTGGGTTTCACTCTCGGTCTCTAATACCAGCTAGCTGAAGCCATAATTTATGGTCAAATTCACGTAAATCATAATTCAGTCCTCCATTTCCCAGGATAGTGATTTACTCGCTCACCTTAACTTGCTTTCACCAATTTTCACCACTTTTAATAGATTTTCACAAAGAATTCGGCAGAATTCACCAGTTTTCTGCAGATTTCGTGTTTTCATCTGTTTTCACCACTACTTTTCACCCTGTTTTATCAGATTTCATTAGTTTTCCTCAGTTTTAACTAAGTTTTAATCAGTTTTTAGCCGGTGTAAATTATGGCAGAAAGTGTATGACTGTTGGGTCATATTTCAGAAAAGTTCGCAGACTTGTGAGAGAAGTCTCTTACAGACGGGTCTGAGTCTGCGTATGTCTGGCGTCTGTCACAGCGGTGTCTGGCGTCTGTCGCAGCGGTGTCTGGCGTCTCTCACAGCGGTGTCTGGCGTCTGTCGCAGCGGTGTCTGGCGTCTGTCACAGCGGTGTCTGGCGTCTGTCACAGCGGTGTCTGGCGTCTGTCACAGCGGTGTCTGGCGTCTGTCACAGCGGTGTCTGGCGTCTGTCACAGCGGTGTCTGGCGTCTGTCACAGCGGTGTCTGGCGTCTGTCACAGCGGTGTCTGGCGTCTGTCACAGCGGTGTCTGGCGTCTGTCGCAGCGGTGTCTGGCGTCTGTCACAGCGGTGTCTGGCGTCTGTCACAGCGGTGTCTGGCGTCTGTCGCAGCGGTGTCTGGCGTCTGTCACAGCGGTGTCTGGCGTCTGTCGCAGCGGTGTCTGGCGTATGTCGCAGCGGTGTCTGGCGTCTGTCACAGCGGTGTCTGGCGTCTGTCGCAGCGGTGTCTGGCGTCTGTCACAGCGGTGTCTGGCGTCTGTCGCAGCGGTGTCTGGCGTCTGTCACAGCGGTGTCTGGCGTCTGTCGCAGCGGTGTCTGGCGTCTGTCGCAGCGGTGTCTGGCGTCGGAGTAGAATCTCACACGTTTTACGAGCGAGAAATTAGAAGTGATTTTCTCTCCCAGACCGTAACGACATTCGGCCCTTAAACAGTTTCGTGTGCAAACATTAACATTAAACACAGTCCCAGACTCGCTTAGAATTATTCAAATAGAAATGTTGAACAGCGTCGCTTGACATTATTCAAGTTTAAACAAAGGTCGACGTCGCTGGGAGATCAATATAACCCCGAGCTTGTCTGAGGTCATTATAACTATATGACGTATAGGGATATGAGGACTAGGAGCTGGGATATGTCCTCATATCACCAGCAATCACCTTGCTGGTGATTGCTGGTGATATGGACCAATTATGGACCAATCACCTTGCTGGTGATTGGTCCATATCGTAAGCCTATGACAAAGTCGAGGCGAGGACGTGCACTTGAGTGATGTGGAAGGAACTCTGTCGCTGTTATTTTTTTGACAGAAAATTGAACTCTGATATTACGCGTGCATTGGAAGTGTGTTACGAGTGTGTTATCAAGGTTACTAGCTAAAATTACTTTTTTTTTATCCCTACTGGCTGGTATAGGCATTAGTTTAAGGTTGGTTTAGACATATCTTTGGGGGATATGCTTGCTTGGTCGGTATAGGTTCTAAAAGTGAAGGTATAGCAGCATTTTCTTAAGTAAGTTAATTGTTGAAACTAAGAAGTTAGGCTTGCGAACTACGTCCATCTGTAAACATTACCAAAGTCACCCACGTGTTAGACATGTTTACATGATGTTTAATTTTGAAAAGAATATTTACAGTTTGAGTAATCCTGGGAAAAAAATATTGCCATTTTTACATATTCTGGAAAGTATATTTACATTTTGTGTGTACTAAATAATCTCGTAGTAAACATTTTCAATGTCTATAGACTTCTGTCTATAGACATTACTCAACAGGAATGTATATTGTGACGTAATATATTTAGGCTGGTGTTATAATGCGTTATATATTTCCTTACTCTGAAATGTGCAGCAGCTGAGCATCCAGTATTCATTCCTGGCTTCACCAATGGAACACTACCTTGACTTTCTCTATAGTCCCTTGACTTTCTCTAGTCCCTTGACTTTCTCTATAGTCCCTTGACTTTCTCTGGTCCCTTGACTTTCTCTATAGTCCCTTGACTTTCTCTAGTCCCTTGACTTTCTCTATAGTCCCTTGACTTTCTCTGGTCCCTTGACTTTCTCTGTAATCCCTTGACTTTCTCTGGTCTCTTGACTTTCTCTGGTCTCTTGATTTCTCTATAGTCCCTTGACTTTCTCTTGTCCCTTGACTTTCTCCAAACCCTTGATTCTCATCAAGAACTTGAAAATATATATTTTAATTTGTTTTTTAAAACTTAATACGAGATAATTTACATATATATTGAAATGGACGTCATTCATTCCTTAAGAGGATTAAGTCTGACTTAAAATAAAGAGGAATTTTGAGAACAAAATCTTTTACTGAATTAGAAAATGAAGTGTAATATATTGGACTGAGAACCAAGTGATTATTATTTGAGTAAGGAATGATTATTTGACCGTCGTGATTATATAATTACAATCCAGACGTCGTGTACTGTCTGGACAGATGTGTAGGGCTCAGAGATTGTGTTCAGGTGTGTATAGGGCTGAGAGACTGTGTTCAGGTGTGTATAGGCCTCAATGGTTGTGTTCAGGTGTGTATAGGGCTCAGAGACTGTGTTCAGGTGTGTATTGGCCTCAATGGCTGTGTTCAGGTGTGTATAAGGCTCAAAGGCTGTGTTCAGTTGTGTATAGACCTCATTGACTGTGTTCAGGTGTGTAGACC